TCTACTACTACTATTCCGCAAATTGGTGAAGCCGTGCTTTGCAGTCCTTGCAATTCGTTACATTATTCACAAGGAATACAGTTTCGACGGACAAATTTATAAAAAAATTTGTTGCGTAACCGAACACCATAGTTAAATTAAATTTTTAATACGATATTAAAATTAGAAGACAAAAAATGGCGGAATAATTGTATTGTTAAAATATTGCATTTTATTATATCTACAACTTAAGTCTTAACTTTACTAAGTGTGATAAAATCTTTTGTAAACTTGTGAGATGTCACTGGACTGGAAATTTTAGGCTCTAAGAAAAAAATTAACGAGTCATTTTATCCGTTTTCGATGTACTGACGAAAATTTACTGTTTTTTTTTGCCGATATTTCCCAAGCCAATTGACCGATTGTTAATTTGAAGCCGGTTATCAAATACAGTTTCTCTAAAGCTTTATAGATTATAGATTGCGTGCGGAGAACTCTAAATCAATAGGCAACATCTATCTATTATAAAACAAATTTTTTATTCCTCGAAAAAAAAAATAAAAACATATGTAACAAACTAGGCAAACCGTAACGGGCTGGTAATGGTAAATTGAATTAAATTGCTACTTAAACTATCCCTATTCGCTGTAATTCGAAAGGAAATAAAATTACATGTATGAATGCTTGAAGGATTTCACGTCATGTGCACCCAATTTAAATGCAAAAGGGAAATGAAGAAAATTGAATTTAACGTTATTTAAGTGAAAACTTGAGGCCGAATTCTATAAACGAACGGATGAGTAAACAAAAAGTCCAATGAAAAAGGAAATTATGGCTTTACTGACGAAACTAGGGCGTGGATGGGGCAAAAGTTATTGAAATTTCGAACCAACAAGGAGATGAGTTTATTAACGCCAGAAGAAGTTTATCATTAATTGACCGAGGTGAGGAAAATATGAGGAACTCTACACGCTATTTTTAACGGTACGAATATTTAATTAAATTTCTCATTTTCTCAAAGCGATATAGGTTATAATTTTGAAAAACAGAACAAAAAAGTGTTTGCTACTGTAATTTGACATTCCGGGTTCAATAAAAAAAATTGCTCTAACTAACTAACTAACTAAATAAATAAATATTAAGAATGGAAATGAAAAGAAGAAGAAAAAAGGGCGAGAACAGGTGAAAAATATGGTAATATTCGCTAGGAATACTCAGCCCAAGTCAAAGACTGTTGCTAGAAATGCAAATTACTGCCAAGAATGCTAACATAATTTGTTTATGTTATTCCCATATTTATGTTATTAGGTACTTTGTAAATTGTGCTACAGCAAAGCCTCGGCTGCTAAGTTCAAAAGCTATTGAGTAAATGCAGTGTTTTTTTTGAAAAAAAAATCGACTTGAAAAGAATCTATTCACATATCAAACAAAGGCACTTCGGAATTACGTCGTTTCGGACAAAAACGAGACGATACTCAACGGAATTCAAAATCAGTTTACAATCAAGTTGGAAGTAAACAGTGCTAACCTGTTCTAGTTTTGTTAATTATTCATTGACGAGATTTTCATCAGGAAGTGCAATCTGCCGTTAGGCAAATAACTTAGTTTAGCCATTCATCGATTATTTAAATTGTGGATTATACTGCACTGTTCGACTATTCGGGACGAACACGTGTGACAATATAATTGCTTATGAATTACCATTTTAGTAATTGTTTAAGCGATGTTACTTCATGAAGCATAAAGTAAAAAATCAAATCATATAACAAATAGAAGATTAATACAATAAATTTCCTATGTAAAAGTCTAAGTAAGGAACAGCTACTAAATACAGTATTTTGATTTTGTATTTCACTGTGATTTTCCGTGTCAAATCTGTTTTTGTTGCATATGAGAAAAAATGTAGGCATCCAAACAAAATAATTAATTACCTAAACTAACTAAAATCAGTAACAATTAATTTTCTAGAAACAATGTATTTATTGATATGCTATACACACCATGAATTCGTGATAATGAATGCTGCAAATGCGGACCCAATTTATGTGATGTTGCAAACGAGTTTCTATAGGCACAAATTCAGAATGATAATGACTGAGTGACATTTATAAAGTCAAACTCCCTCTTGGTAACAACATGAGAATATTTTCTGAGGCCATATAGAACCTAGAACAATAGTTTTGTCCATTTTGTAATTGTTTGTGTTTGGTGGTGTGGTCTAAATTATAGACCAAGAACATAACGCAACGGTAGGCCGGAATTGGTGGTTTCGTAAAGTTTGATGCTTTGTGGGGAAATTTGATGTATACCAAAGTACATATTAGGAACAATTTCGTAATATTTAGGTAGGCTACAGAATTTACTTAGTAACCTATAATAATAAATTTTGTTTTAAAGTTGTCTCGAATTATATTCCTATAACTTTTAAAGTAACCCTTCTTTTTTTATTACAGTTTGTGTCATTAAGCCTGGTGAAAATTCGTATTTTTCTTTGCTTTAGTTCGATTTTTGTGGTTTTAATCCATGACGATTGACTAATTCATATGGTATAACCGCGGTTGGTCCAGTTGAAGGCACTCGAACCAATTTTGAATAGAATGTGTTAGCCGAATGCCTAAATATTCATAGTGTTAATACGAGTTATGCTGTCGGACGTTAATGAATTTGTGATTAAACCAAAGCTTATGCGAAATTACCGAACAAACGTTTGGGTAAATAATTGAGCAAATATGTCACATATTCTCGACGCTCGCAATTAACGAATTAGAAAATGTTTTTGTGATGATAATTGGCACAAAACGTGTGTCCGAATTGACTCGATTCTCGTAATGTATGATAACTCCTGTTATACGTAAAGTAGAGATAGATCAATCAACAAATTAGAATATAGCATAAACATTTGACAGCTATGTGAACTGCATTGGGTATAATCCAAAAAGCTCTTTTATTTTCTAAGTTGTTTAAAAACATTGTTTATAGATGGGACGAAAAGCTATAAACTAAGACAAGAAATATGGCGAGTTGAATGAAGGAACGGTATACCTCTAGGTATTGATCAAACTGTATGATACTCATTGCAGAAAGTTAAATATCATATCACTAATTTTCGGTAAGTTTTTTTTGTGTTGTGCATGTCTTGTCCACTTTTAAAAACGTATTTTCTATTAAAAACCATTAAAGGATTGATTTCAAATCTTAGTGAAACTTCAAAATAAATAGGAACATTACAAAAATTTAATTTTTACTGACACTTAGAGAAACTCAACAGTTACAATTACAAACTTTATATTTCCGTCTGAAATTAAGATTTGATTACACAGTGTAAACGCAAATATTGAAGGTGAAAAGGAAAACGGGACAAAACCATATAGAGATTATTACTAATACTTTTGATTAGCAGTGCAGTGTCCCTCTTAAATTTGTATCCTATTCTTTTGTGTTTGGTGCTCTGGGAGAGGAAATGAGAAGTTTTAAAACATAACAACTTTATTACATTATCACAGTTACGTTATTATACACTAATTTTTACAAAAATGTCTTACCTTAACTTAGGTTATAATTATAGGTACTTGTCTAAGCATAATTCAATTATATGATTTGCTGGCAATGGGAAACAGTTAACACATTTTTATGTTCATCAAAGAATACTTACATTACTGTTACGGCTATGAGCTTACTTCTTATTTAGAAGTTTTAAATATAAGAGGCGTTTATAACAATTTTTACAATTTTACGAATACGTTCTCGGAATTTGAGCCCCATAACTCCAAATCTATCGCTTTTCATAGTAATGCGTCATGTATGCATTTAATAAAACTAATTACCATTTTTTTTATAAAAACAAGTAAATTTTTATTATATGATCGTTTAGTCATCTAAAAATATAAAAAAAAGTTAAGATAAATTTTAGCCAATGAATTCTGTCGATGAAAAAGTTATATTAAAGCTAACCTTAAATTCACAATACATTTTCCCTGGAATGGGGTTTGCTTCTAAAGTTTGACGTTTAGAATGCAAGCGTTATACAACCTGGTTCTGCTGTCGATGTATTGCCGTACACAAGCAAAGGGATACACCGAATAATTTTAAATTGAATTCAATTGATTCTGTAATTATTAAATATAGCTGTAATCAACTTAGGCCTTTCTATATGATGGTTGTAATCACCATATTCTGTTTGTTCAGTACTAACCATGCGATATGTGCAGTAAATAAAGCATTGCCAAATCCATTTGTTTAACAATTACAGTTGCTTACATTTGCTTGCTTCTGTCAATAACTATTTCATGTTACATTCAAAAAATATTTTTTGTTCCGAGAATAGCTAAAAATTTACAGAAAATACAGACAGATGCAACTTGCTTATAGAAATAAACAATTGTTTTTTGCTGGGATCATTGCTATCAGCATTCTATTGTTAATGCACAACACCGAATGTATCCTTAACGTTATTTACCTGCGTAAGACTAAAATTTTGTTTCATCTCAAAGTCTTGTGTCGTTTTTAAACAAAATTTCTAACAGATAAAAAGTAATTGCAGTTTTTTTACCGACATATAACGCTTGATTTGAGACTACCAAACAGCATTGTTTCATTGTCAGATTGATGAAAATCCCTTGAGGGTATTATCGGAGATAATATATGAGCAGATATCTGTAGCAAAATAATGAAGAAGTTCAATAAATTATCAGGATTGATCAGTTTTTAATACCAAATTTCTTGGACTTGCTTCAGTTTTTTCTTTATGTTGTTGTCAATTATAATTGTCATATTATATCTTGAACCATGAAAACAAACTCATTATATTTATACAGAACAATTTAATTTAATAATTAATAATGTTAATAATCTGACAGCAGTGTCAATTCTAGCACAGCTCTCTTGTGCAACAAACGGTACCAAATGTCTGTATTATTATACTAATATATATATATATATATATATATATATATATATATATATATATATATATATATATACTTTATTAATCGAGATGCTGAAAATAATTTATTTAAGGACACTTTAGAGAAGGTTTGACGATAAATAATAATATATAGACTTATTATTCTGAAGCAAAAAAGATTAAGAAAATTTTGCAACTGCAGATACTGTATGCGAAACATTTGATCCCGTTTTGAAATAAACGCGAAAACATCCGAGTAGTGTTATCTGGAGCAAAATTCAGAAAACCATTAAGGCATCCAGCAAAAGTAACAATGGGGACGATCGGGCTTTCACAAAAGTTCATTTCAAAAATGTAACGATGATGCAATAAAGCCCCACAACAAAAAACAATAATTTCCTCTTTATATATAATGGTTCCTTTCTTGAAACAAATGCTATCACCAGGAAATTATTAGAATGAAAAAATATCGATCCCACAATACTATCCTTCTTTAGGAACAAATGGTAAGGAAAAGGAGATTGCTGTACCTTAGTATACATATATTAATTTCTAAATTATGGTACGTTAAAATGGAAATATGCCACAAGTGCAATTTGTCTTTATCGAGACAGAATACCGTCTGATTCTGGTTATGGTGAAACAGAATCGGTGCGATTGTATCTGCAATAAAATATTGTTCTATCTTTTACGATGAGTGCCTCCCAAAAAAACCTGTCAATTGAGCTCGAAATATTTGATACGAATCCGAAAAATATTTCAATTTCAACACCAACTGTATTTTAAAGAAAACAACCTCTATTTCCTTACCTTATTGCCTTACATTGACGTGTCCCAAACTTATATAACTTCTTCCTTGACTTTTTTCTAAAAGGAGATTAAACAAATGAAAAACGATCTCATATTCCCTAAACTCTGCGGCTCGCCCGGCAACTTCGCCAAACTGGAAATCTTGTCTTGAATGCTAATATTTACGAGATCTTAGGCCGCACTGTGCAAACTAGTTTGCGCTAGCCCAAACACCCTTTATACTGAGTGGATCCCTATTTATTCGTGTCTCTAATCAGAAACAGTATTATCTTTTAACTTACCAGTTTTTGTGCACTGCTTGGAACATGGTTTGGTCACAATTTATTACATCTGTACCATTCTAACGTTTCAGTCATCTGAAGGCTATTTACACATCAATTAGAAGTAATTTTCATGCGTATCGAACACGCACACAGTTATGTCTCGCTATTTAGTCACTATACTTAACGAAAACTATGCACAATTGTTTTTATACATATTTTACAATATCTCAATTTAAAAATGTTTTCACTTTCTGCTTGGAATATACCATCAGTTATACAACTTAAATCTAAATTATCGCAAAATCTTATAAATTATTTAAAATTAAATTAACCTAGACAAAACACTACTAAAAAAAAGTTATGGAACAATAATAACAATTCAGATCTTGTTCTTAATAGCGTTCTAACACTGTGAGTGGTCAACGAAAGTCGCGCCCAAAGGATGACAAAAGATATTAATTAATCTTAATTACTTATCCTCTACCAAGTCAGAAAAACATTTTTAATTGCCAAACAAACAAATACCTATAAAAATCCACAAAAGTAACTTATTTCCCCTTATCTTGTTTTTATGTACAATCCGGCCAAATGGACAATTAAAACCGGAGGAATAAGACGTAACAAAGTAAGATATATTGCAGCTTTGTTTGTGCCGTCATTTTCTTGACCCCATTCAGACCTCGAACTAAAAAAAAAGGACACAAGAATAAAGAAAAACACCGAATTAAGGGGACGAAACATATTTAGAGAACGTCGACTCGTTACGCTGACGACTTTAATGACTTCTTTTTCTCTGATTATTTATGAAAAACGTTACTGTCATTTTGCATTAAAACGCAGAAAACGATCCCATTTCTGACCTACTTTCCTTGAAATTAGGTGAAGATTTTGGCATTGAGAGAATAATGCGATATATGTATTTTACCAATAATTTCTTTTATTTAGTTATTAACTACCTGTGGATATGCAACCATATGAAACGCATTTGTTTAAGCATTTTTACGATTTTTTTATCAATAAAGGCAAAAACTTATTTGACTACGCCACTGGATTGAAAACCGTTGTAAAATAATATTTTACAAAAAATGAAGTTCTGATGATGTTTTGGCGAATGTTGTTTATACCTGCTTATCAAATCTAATTTGGTTTTCATAATGAAATTTGAATTTTATTGTTGCGCTTAAACTTTTTCCTAGATAAATCTTAAAAGAAAAACTTGAATAACGCCCATTGTGTCAAAGACCTTCTTTCATAAAGTTGGCTTTCTGTGACAGAAAACTACTATCTATAAAATGATATGTGTAAATAGGAGTAATATTATTTATATCAAAGGATATTTTTTAATTGAAGAAGATTCCAACTCAAGTAAAAAAAGTCACTTCCGGTTTAAAGAAATAACGAAAACTTATATTATTTTGTCTCGCGATTTTGTTACTTAAGAATTTCTTTTCAGTAATTATTATCTAATCTTATGTTATATATACGTGCAGAATGAACAGATAAATTCTTCTTTTTATATATTGTAATGGTATATTTTTTAATTGAATGAAAATGAAGTACTTCTTAAAATTAAGTGGAAACTGTAAAATGTACTCTTATTTGTCTCTCTTTTGTAATTAAAATTAATACTAAACTAAATTTCTGTTTTTTTTTTGCAATCCATCAAATCACATTATATTGCATCTCTGTCAAACTATCATTTTGTTAGGAAATTTGATACCATCCACACATATGGAGTATGACTATGTAACGAAGTCTATTCAAACTGGGGGTTTTAGGGTTGGAAAGTATTTTTAAAAATTTAAAAACCGTATTTGCAGGGTATCGAGAAAAAATCATTTATCTAAAAGTCTTAAAACAAAATTATTAAACCAAACCACGCGCAAGATCCTGACCAAGAACTGTTATTCTAGATGATTTCTGAAAAATGTACAGGGTGAGCCGGTAATTTGGAAAAAACTGAAAATTGTGCTCCCTTTATAATGATAATTGACTAACCAAAACTAGGAAGCTGTGATTCAGTTGTCCGTTTCTTACTATATGACCATATAGCCAGTATGGAAAGCTCAAACTTTTGTATTTAAGGATTTCACATATTGTTCCGAATGTTCGGGATATTCTGTGCTATATTCAAAAACGTCATAGATGTCTTAAATATGTAGCTATCGACTTCAAATTTGGCAAGGAAGTAAAAGTCCATCAATTCGACAAGATTTTTTTTTTATTTGGATTTTTTTATTGGGTTATTCTGGCTTCCAGACCAAAATTATTTTCTCGAAATGTCCAATAGGCAAAATTCTTTACCTAGGAGACATGGAAGATTCGGTATTATGACTCCTATTTCAATCATTTCTTCAATTATATCTGGAGTTTTTCAATTTTTAATTTTTTCCTCCATAAGCGTGCATCCGATTGGCAAAATTCTCGCAGAGCATCCAGTGCAATAACATTTTTTTCGGTCATTTTTTCGATTGTACACAGAGTTTTCAAATTATAGGTAAAAATCTAAAAGAAAAAAGAAAATTGTGCTTTTACCGAGTCAATTATTAGCAGCAAATCAAAAATGGTAAAAAATATGGCTAATTGGTTCAAACTGCCGTATCAAGTGCTACAATTTTTGTATTTGCGGTTTTCACATACGCTGCTCGGGATATTTGAAAAAATCCATATTGAAATCGTTATTTCGGGGGCTGTCAAGACGCGATGAGGTCATTGATTATTACGGCGCACTGCATGGTTTCACTGCGCACTGCATGTGTGTATATGATGCATTGTTCGAAGTAGAGGTTATAGCCCTGGATTTTCCACTCGTACTGGTTCAAGAATTTTTTGAAAATAGTAAATGGTTTTCTAGAAAATAAGTTTTTTTCTGAAACCATGCACTGCGCCGCAATAATCAATAAATTTCCGTTTTTGTGGGTAAAATATTGGCGATCAATTGAAAACCGTTAAGGATGGGATAATTTTTTTTGAACAGGATCGTAAGCCGTGTCGTGAGAGAGTCCAGGTTTCGTCAATTATACAGGGCGAGAGATATTTGAAAAAATATCATTCGAAAACGCTATTATTTGTGCAAATTTTAATATTTACCGATATTTGCTGCAACCTGGAAGTTCGACGAGATGTGAAGGACTTTTTATACAGGGTGCATGCACAATTAAATTACATCGATTTTGCGAAAGTTCCATAGTGGTCCGCAGGAGCACGATAGAAAAACAATGTGTCCCTTTACCACATGAAACCGCGAAGTTCTTTCTTTTTATAATAAAAACCTGCTTCGAGCTTCGCACTACGAACGTGTCACGCCCAGTGAAGCCAAAATAAAGATTTATTGCTCTATATAAAGACTACTGAGTGATTGGTTGGTTTTAATTAGTTGGAAAATAACAATAAACCCTATATTTCAGATTTCAATGAAAGATTCATAATTGCGAGTCAAGCAGGCACTCTGATGAATTATTGTTGACTATCGCGGCATCCGTAAATTGCTCGGCAAACCGCAAACATATCATTGACTATAGTACATCCTTAAATCCGACCAAACAGCAAATCTAAATAGTACGAAGCGCGACTTTCCGTATTTCCCGGATAATCGTCAGAATCGTTGCAAACAAACCAAATATTTATTCGAAATACAACGGATTAACGAGATATCGAGTGCGGCGCTACCAAATTTCCTTTTCGAAACGTTGCGGATTTAAGTGTATTACAAATAGAACGAAAACTGCTCGTACACGAATTAAACCAATCTAACTTTGCTTACAGAGAAAACTTTGCCAGTAATCGATATATTAGTTTACGAAAGTAACTCCGGGTCTGTTGGACCGGAAAGACATCAGCGCGTTAAATTACAACACACTCTGGTTACTTTCGACCCCTGCGCCGAAATAAATATCAAGCAGTTGCCCCTATCTTTTGCCGCCGGTATACTATTTAGGGCCCACGCGATATTTGACAGAGATACGGTATTTATTGTTAATAAAAGTTCTGCAGAAGCGTATATTATGGAAACTCAAAACAAGGAGTAAAATTTATGCAGCCAGCGTCAAAATTAACTCATCACTTAATTGATGAAAGGTATGGAAGCGAAAAAATCAACAAATACGTCATCGCTTTCATCAGCTTACCCTACTAACCAATCAACTGACGGGTATGTACAAAACAGCGTAAATACATTGTTCCATTATACAGGGTTTTTCACTTAAAACTCCGCACGCCAATAAGTCCAAAACGAAAAGAAATATTTAATTTATGTAAAAAGTAGTCAAAGTGTGGGGTCAAGTAGATATTTCCTAAAGTTTAAAAAATTCGACGCCTGCAAAGAGCTGGGCGTCGCGACGCGTCGAAAAATTATTCGATTGCAGAGACTTTGAAAATACGCGCATACAAAAGTACATATTATTTAAAAACTTTTTTGTTATTTACTCAAACTTATTTACTTTACCCGTTTCTAAGTTATACCGATTTAAAGTAAACATTTCTTGATTAATAAAAAATGTGATTAACGCTTATTTTTACAAGTATGCCATGAATGTTAGTTACTATGGCAACCATTGTTATCGCAGTTGTTTTAAGTGCAATTACAAACGTAAGTTGTTATTGCTGTATCAAAAAATTGTCACATTTTGTCACAAGAAATATCCAAATTTGTTCGGTTAAAAAAAAACTAAGAATTATTATGTGAAAATGGTGCAATTTAGCAATGAGGAAAAAGTAGACATGTTACTGGTGTTTGGAGAATGCAGATGCAATTGTAGAGAAGCAAAAAGAGTTTACGCACGGCGTTATCCGCATAGAAGAGTCCCCGATGCAAAAACCTTTTCAACTTTATGTAAAAACTTAAGAGAATATGACAGCTTCATAAAACCTAAAAGAGATAGGAACAGGACGGCTACAAATGATGAAAATATTGTACAAAAAATACGTACAAAAGTAAACTAGTTCGTAAACTATAACCAGGCGATTATGCTAGAAGAATGTATTTCTTAGCGACATTGTCCGATTTGTATAGCCAAGATGCACATTTTCTCTCGAAAATTTTATGGAGCGACGAAAGTCGATTTCTAAATAATGGAATCGTTAATAGACACAACTGTCGTTTTTGGTCCGAAAACCATCCTCGTTGGATTACAGAAAGAGGTAACCAACGAATTTTTAGTATCAATGTTTGGTGCGGCATATTAAATGGATTCCTTATTGGACCTTACTTTTACGAAGGAACTTTAAATGCAGATCGCTATTTAAGATTTCTTCAAACTACACTTCCGGAACTATTAGAAGAAGTGCCTCTTGACACTAGAATGAATATGTGGCTACAGCAGGATGGAGCGCCTGCACATAATGCCCAAATAGTAACGAGGTATTTGAACCGAGAATATCCCAATAGATGGTTTGGTACTAATGGACCGGTAAGGTGGCCGGCGAGGTCCCCGGACATTACACCACCAGATTATTTTCTTTAGGGCTACCTAAAAAACGTTATCTATGAAGAACCTATCGAAGATATGGCTGATCTCATTAACAAAATTAATGCAGCGTGTGCCGCTATCACAAGAAGGACTCTCCTACCAGTGACCCAAGCTCATCTGTTAAAAGTTTTTGATAATTGTGTTCGAGCAGATGGACATAATTTTGAACAAAATTTTTGAAATGTCTTATTATGTAGTTAATTGCAATAATAATTTTGGTTATTAACTTGTAGGTATTTTAATGTTTTTTCATTTATTTATCATGTTATCAGAACGAAATCGATAAAAAATAATAAATAAAATCATACTAAAATCGTTGAAATCTATTGTTTGTAATTGCACGTAAAGCAACTGCGATAACAATGGTTGCCATAGTAACTAACATTCATGACATACTTGTAAAAATAAGCGTTAATCACATTTTTTATTAATCAAGAAATGTTTACTTTAAATCGGTATAACTTAGAAACGGGTAAAGTAAATAAGTTTTAGTAAATAACAAAAAAGTTTTTAAATAATATGTACTTTTGTATGCGCGTATTTCCAAAGTCTCTGCAATCGAATAATTTTTCGACGCGTCGCGACGCCCAGCTCTTTGCAGGCGTCGAATTTTTTAAACTTTAGGAAATATCTACTTGACCCCACACTTTGACTACTTTTTACATAAATTAAATATTTCTTTTCGTTTTGGGCTTATTGGCGTACGGAGTTTTAAGTGAAAAACCCTGTATATACAGGGTGTCCCACTTAAGGACACACTTGCAAAATCTTCCTTTATGGTTTGATATTAATATATATTTTTTTGTTGGACAGGTCTCGTCTTTTGCTTATTGCTTCAACATAATGTCATGGCCAACTCAAACTATGTAATAAAAGAGAGAGAAGAGAGAAATATTAGAGATATTTTTAAAAATAAATTGGTAACGAATCCTTATTCAGGAGTACTTAGAACCCAACTATACCAATTTTCTTTGAAACATCGTTGTAAAACGGTTTGATTTTAATAATTTTATTTTTAAAAACGAACTAAAACCTCAGATTCTTATTACATTAACCTGAAATCATGGCTAACTATTAGGGATTTCTTTAAGAATAAAGTGACAACGAATTCTTATTCAGGACCGCATAAAACCCAACGAAACTAATTTCCATGAAGTGGTCGAAATACCGCCGGCGTCTCGCTTAAGCATTACTGCTGTAGAATGTTTGTTTAGGACTCAATTTTGATAATTTTTTTTGGTTGGATAAATTTCACTGAAAGACGCTAACGATTTTCTTAAAACTGTTTTCTTAAACTAGACATACTTCACAATGCTGTATTTTTTTAATTAAAAGGGATTTTTGATTCCCATCTAATAATGAAAATAACAGAAATATCAAAATTGTTTGACGTCGGCATACTGTTTCCTTTGTAAAGTCAAGTTTGCCATGGAGAAGCGAATATTCGACTGTCAAGTTCGTTCGTTAACTTATATTTTAATTTTGTTTACATCTTTCGAATTCTAAGATTTATTAATGCTGTTGTTTTAAGATGATACTAAAAAATTAATTTTCGTTAAAAAAACTTTTTTATCATTATTTTCGAAATTTGTGTAATTAAAATTTGTAAGATCATAAAATCACGTACAAAATAATCGTTATTTACAAAGTTTAATATATATTTTTTTTGGTGTAGTTACTTTTAGGTAGTCCTGAAAACGAATCTGTTGTCTTTTTCAATTTGAAAAATCTATAAAAGTACTTCTCGATTTTCCAGTTCAAAAAACGGTGTCATTTCTCCTTAGTAAGATCTATCCAACAAAAATGAATTATCGAAATTGAGCCATATAGATTTTACAAGGGTATGCAGTTCCTAACTGTATAAGTATCTACTGTAACAATTTGAAACCCAAATTTCTTATCTAAAAATATTGAAGATTCCAACGCATTGGACCGTCATGACGATGAAACATTTCACCGAAATTTAGATTTGGTCGTAGCAATGTAAAAAGCAATGTTAGCAATTTCAGATTGTACTAATGGAAAAGGAGATTTGCATTTACTCATTCCTCAATGTAAATTATTATTAAACAATTTTATACCTGACATTAGTACTGGTGTGTTTCTAAAGGTATTTTTCCACAAAAGGAGTAATCGTTGTATTTGAATATATTGTCACATAATAAACGCGTAAATATTCTCGACACTTTCACAGGCTACTGTAAGGCTTTTTACAATACTTCTGGATTCCTCCTGCGTCGGTTTTTGCTTAGTCGAAATTGCTGACGTTTCGCCAATCATCCTGTTGGCTTCTTCAGAGCTTGACTGACTGAACCAGTTTCAATTTCGACTAAGCAAAAACTGACGCAGGAGGAAACCACAAGTTTTGTAAAAAGCATTATGATTCTCTATTATTAGAAAATTTATTCTCTGTTACTTTGCCTACCCAACACAGTTGCATTGTTTTGAACTTTATTATAATGGAAATATTAATATAAAAGTAAGTAAAATAAACATAAGTATTAACTTCAGGAGTTAAGTTGTATTTTAAAAATAAAATATTTATGATGAGTCGAAGATTTCGAAATTAATTAAATTAATTAATACATTTGAGAGCATGAGAACTGTGCAAAAATATAACTTGATAGAACCACTTTATCCCCCCCCTCCCAATACGATTTTATTGCAAAGCAACTTGTTGATCCATTCATAATAGTGGGCTTGTGTTATTTGTTCTATCTAGAAATGTTATCACTCCATATTTACCATTTTGTTTTTTTTTTGTAAAATGCAAAAAGCGATTTTAATTTGACTTCAACACCTATAATACTTCGATTTCAATTATTAATAAATTCATACAAATTTGTTAGTTGGTATTCGTCCCAGGCAAACGGCAATTTTCTCTTAAATTCCAATTAAATGTTTTGAAAATGTGATCCGAAAAAATTGAGCGAACCACCACAATTTGATTTACTATTTTATTAAAATAATTTTTGCCGCGCGTTGCAACTAAATGCGGTGCCATTATACCCAAAAATTAAACGAATTAAATGATTTGACAAATTCGACGTAATGTTTACGGTATGATGTTTTCAATATATTTTTGCTCTGACGCGGAATTCGCAGAAAATATTTATTTGGTAGTTGTCAGTTTGGAGGAAATGCGACATGCTCGTTTTCCACTCACTGATTTAAAATGGCTACACTTATAAAGATTCAACAAACCTTATAATTTTTCTGACAAATTCTATATCTCCCTCAACAATACTACGAAATTCTGGAATCGAACAAGTGTATTTTTCTAAAGTTTAATTTACGTTTCCTTTTAAATTGTTTATGGATGAAATCATCAGGAATGTTTTGTTTCCTAATGTTAATCCACATTTATATAATTTATTAAATACGGTCCATTTTATTTGCATCAATCGCGTTCAGTAAAATTTTTCCTAATTTTGTGTAAAAGTAAATAATAGAAAAAAATCTGGAATGTCTGAATTAAATCCGAATCGATTGCCCTATGAAACACTGTTTGATGGACAAAATAAAGTTACTCGCATTGGAAGGCAAATGAAATTATGCTTTCACTATGATATATTCGTAAAAGCAACTTTTTTTTATTAATCTAATAAATATTTGAAAACAAATCAAGCAGTGCGTGTACATCGGGAAACTGGATCTGGTTTAACCAACAGTGTGCAACTTAATCCTGGTGCAATATTCGATATACGACGGTTACGATCTAGATTATGTTTAGATCAAATCGGTCTAAGACAATCTGATATTGTGAGCAATTAGATTGCGTATGAGAATCGAATATTCTTAGTAAAAAAATTGAGCTAAAGATTTTATTCGTGCTAGGGCAACAAATCAGACGGAACATGACAAAAAACTAAATGAACCAAATATTGTATAAAAATATAGAGAAATGTAGATCGATAACTATAATAAAAATAAATAACCCTCTATTTTCAACTAATATTAATAACGACCTCGTTATCACAGTATACCCGAACCCGTTATTATAATAAAGGTCATACCGTACTAGTTGTAAAACATTACAAGGTACGCTTTTTATGTTATATCAAAATACTGATTGAAAATCCTGAAGGAAGTATGTGACAGAGTTTCGGTATTTGAAAGTAATCGCCTTTCTACGAGCGATAGTTTGAAACTAGTATGATGGGCTTCCAGCCTTGAACAGTTTATGTAAAAACATTCCAAAACGTGGTATCCAAGTCTAAGGAAGGTTCGTAAACAAAGTAATTTTTATGCCATAGAACTAGAGATGCACCAAACATTTTTTTCAATCTAAAATTCAAAATATATAAATGTTACACAAATGATACTAGATTTATCCATGTAAACTTTTCGTGAAAAAACCTTTGACAACATTGATTTTTACTCTGGCGATCGATATTTTGGTTATTAATTCACTACAAAAGCTTTCCTTAAAATGATTGATTAGGTCATATTTCTTCATACGTTAATACTTTGTCCTCATTTTCTTTGACTTTACACTCATAGAAGTTGCCAGATCTATTGTGTGGATCTGGAGAATCGTATTATGATTCTTTATCACGTCGTTAATAAAATTGCGTTCAAATATATCATAGCTTTCCAAGTCAGTGAATGTCAGAAATGGGATCGAGTCGACGGCGGATGATGCTTCAAGTCGTTTATTAATGACTGTCGCGCTTTGCATTTTCCGATGCGCGCCGATTCGACTTTGATCTAGAAGATCAAAAGTAGAAATCCTGTATACGATCCCCGTTTAGTTTGGGGATAATTAGCGCATAAACGCGACTACAGTTATATAGGAACGTTTATGGAGAAGGATTTAAAACACAAGCAAGTCACAGAAGTAATACGGGGTTAGCCAATAGAAATAACAATTTATTAAGTCCGTAATTTAATCAGCCTTACCCCTTTCAGGAACTGGATTCCGAGCGCTTTCCAATTCAAGTTCCACTTCGTCGTGGTAAACATCCGGCAGACGGGCAATGCATCTGAGTATTAACCTCCCATTGTCAAAGTGCGTATCAGTCAGGAGAAGCTCCATCGAAAGGTCGCTCCATGCACGTTCCTGTTTTCTTCTTGCTAGTTTTGGATCCGTTTCGGCTACCTGTAAAAAATATGAAACTAATTCTTGTTAAAAATATTTAATCAAATATTAAAAATGTTATATGCTATAAATAAATATAATAAAAAATTCACATCTCCACACTTCAGTGAAAGAATTGGTGTTATTTTGCGAAAATGTGCTCCAAAACTAACGATCGCAGAAAAAGTAGAGCATGCGACACGGGTGGTATACTTTTTAAGTCGCTAGTTCATTAAACAATAGTTGGCGCTAGCGGAGCATAACCCAAATGCCGTTTACCGCCCTTGTTGCATAATACAGTATAACACACAGTGTTAAAAAAGAATATGTTTGCTTTATTTGTATTCAGATCTAACTTGTTTGGCATGCCAAACTAATTCCAAGGTACATGTTTCTCAATTCCAAAATTAGGATTTTGGATATGTCAAGAGTGTTATTTTCCACCTGTGATTCACATTATCCCGAAATTCGAAATTATTATTATATTGCAACTTCTGTTGCGAATATGCCACTTGTCGAAGAAGGATTATTAAAAATTTAGTTAGTTAGTATTTTGTTATTATTGTCTCCGAAAGGCAATTATGGTAGCTTTCAATGTCATGTCAATTTCAGAACATATGAAGATAATGATAATCGTTGTTATACTGATCGCGATGATTAGTCAATACTGTGTGCTTTTATATTTAAGTGTTTACATATATGCAGTTTTTTTTTGTTGTTTCTTTTTTTTTACATTATTATTTAATTAAGGGGTGAGTAGCTTTAGAGCTAGCGCTTATAAAATACTATCGAAAGATGAAGATTTTTAATGTTTTAATTGTGGTTCCTGTGCTATATTGTTTTCACCATTTTAACCATTTTTTTAATGGTTTTAACCATTTTGAGACTTAGTGGCCCAAATATTGTCGAACACCTCATGTAGGAATTGTTTCGTATCTTTAGGTATAATTGACATTGACGCTTCACATTCTTTCACTTTTTGCTATACATAATATGTATACATATACATATTATGGGCACTAAATGTGTTTTAATAAAATTGTGAGCCTGGCCAACACGTAAGATTTAAAGCTCACCTGCTTTTTGAATTTAAAGCAAAATTGACGGTATTTCTTGTTAAAATAAATAAAAAGGAGAACTTCAGATTTTCATGAAATTATACATTTTTAAATGACAATTGTTTCGACAACACCGTGTCTTAATCAAATGTTGAATTTCTTTTTAAAAAATACTGCTAACCTCGGTATGATTTGTGATGGAATAGTGGGTGATAAAACCAAGAGAGGAATTGGAAGCAGGTATTTTACCTGTGAAAGTGAAAGCGTACCAATTGCATCGCCAGACAAGAAAAGGAGAAATTATTCATTGGTGGCGCAATAAGCGGATTAATTATATAAATTATTACCTAAATATTCGCATATCGTTAAGGAACACCCTGATCTATTATTACAGAGAAAATACATGAATTCATCTCTGAAGATGATCAGATAGAGATTTAGGGCGGAACAACACTCGTTAAAGTCTAAGTGGAAGCAAGATATACAATCTATTTTATTCCGTATGGCATTTTATTGCTGACTATGCCATCACAAATCGTACCGACTATACATAAGATCCCCTAATAGATATTAGGAAACAAATCTGTGCCTTATTAAGAAACTTCCATAGACATTTACATATCTTCTTTTTTCCTCCTGCATCGGTTGTTCATAAATAAAACTTGCTTACGTTGGCTTCTTCTGAGCTAAAATGAAACTGGCTCGCATTTTACCATGTATTATACTGTTGGAGGGGAGCGGAGCTAAATGAAGGACATAAACATTGTCCCGGATGACTAATTCTCATTTTGGTGAAAGATCGCGGTACTGTGCGTTATTTGTTTTATATTATTTGTTTTTTGCTGTAAACTATGCATTTATACTGCGATTGTTACATATCAATTTAATTAAAAATTTATTGTTTTGTTAGCAGCCTCTAGTAGATGTATAGTGCCGATATAAGCAACAGAAACCGTACATAACCTCAATTTCCTAACCCCCCCGCAGCGGGGGCCCCCCGCGCGTGGCGTCCTAGTGTCCCCCCTGTCTCCCAGAGTGCGCTCCGCCCCCCACCCAGCTTGTGTAGCGTCCTGTTTTGCCCCGGTTCCGCCCGTCGCTGCTAGATGTCGCCAGCTTGTGTAGCGTCCTGTTTTGCCCCGGTTCCGCCCGTCGCTGCTAGATGTCGCGCGCTCCGACCGTCGTAGGCCCCCCCGGTAGAGGGCGGTGACGGTGCGGCGCGGTGACGCGGTGGATCGGGAGGATAATTAAATAAACTTGAATTTTAATACATTTTATTTTATTTTATTTATAAAATTGGTCTGGCGAGGAGTTTCTTCTTCTTTTTATGTCGATTCAGTCGACCATCCCATTGTTCCTGTTCCTTGCGTTGTTCTTCTTCCCGTTCCCGGAGGAAATCTAAATACGAAGTGCACTCCTCGCCGTCCCACTCCGTCGACCACCCACCCGGGTACTCCTGCTGCTCCTTTGTTTCTTTTGATCCACCGGGTTGCTCCTGCTGCTGGTGATGTTCCCTTGTCGTTTCATGTCGTACCGGGAATTCTAACCCCCGGTACTCTTTGTGTGATTTGAATATGTGACGCCCTAAGCGATGCGCCAACATAATATGCGACTTGTCATACGGACAAACCGCGATTTTTTCTAGAACAAAACAAAGTATGATATGTAGCGTTTCCTATAAAACACACATTTTTTTTTTAAACAAAACTTCCAAAAAGGGGGGTTATCAAATAATTTTAAAAATTGTTTTTTAAGTTATACGCGCATACCAAAATTCACGTTTCAATTCACTGTCAAAAGGGCAAACTGCAATTTTTTAGTACAAAAAATAAACAAAAATATGTATATATTTCGCGTTTTCCCCATAAAACGCACATTTTTGAAACAAAACTTTCAGTAATTTTAAAAATTGTTTATTTTTTAAAAGCCAAAATTCCCTATTCACTGTCATTTAAAAGATATTAAAAACGCTCAATTTAATTCGATTATTATTGTCAAAAAGGCAAACTGCAATTTTTTAGTACAAAAAATAAAACATTTTTGAAACAAATTTAAAAATTGTTTATTTTTTAAAAGCCAAAATTCCCTTTTCCATTCACTGTCATTTAAAAGCTATTAAAAACACTCAATTTAAATCGGTTATTATGCAACGTAAAAAAGATGAGTATCATATTTTAAAAACAGGTAGAAACTAACCAAAAAAGTGATAACCCAAACTGAAACCCACAAGAAAAGACGCGCACTGTATAAAGGTAATTAAAATATAAAACTTACCAGTTGTAGGATCGTAGGGAAATGGACATCGCACTTCTGTATTCATTGCACTGAATATAGTCTATAATACACATGCAACGTATTTATACACATGCACTCCCTTCCATGGTTGAATTAAAAGTCGAAAGGTCTTCTACCCACAAGCACCAACGCCGATTTGAATAGACGCGATGTTGTCGCCAGACAACCGTGCAGGTAGAAGTCTCAAGGTCAACACGCTTTCACACGGGAACGCAACCGCTTCGGACGTTGGACGAACGTATGTTGCCGCAAAAGATCAAGGCCAACTTGCTTTCATTTTTTACAATCTCCGTATGGGATGTGGAATTTCATAACGCGCCGAGTCTAAATGTCGAGTTGTTTTGCTTGTTGAGAATAATAATTAATTGCCCCCTTTATATTTGCTCCGTGGGATTAACGTAATGGGAAAAATTTGTTGCAACGCATGTGGAGGTGTCTTCGTTTGTTAACTTTTAGAAAGTATTCTCGCACCGTATAAATACATCTCATTTTTCTCTGTTTTGTCAGTAGTTGTTTTTGGTATTATTCGTGCAACGTGGAAGCTAACTTAGTGGTTTGGTGTTCGTACAAAAAAGCAGTAAGTACCTTTTTTATTGTCTTATTTTAATTCTTTAACATTTGTTATTATTTTATAAAGGTCTTAAAGATCATCTTAGTACTCTCAACCCGTAACCGCAAATAGAATAGCAGCAATCTTAAGCGTAAGTTTTTTTTATTTTTTTAATTTTGAGATAAAATAATTAATAATAATTTATAGATGGACTTAAGTCAACTGAATCAAACCTGTCTTGCAGAAGGTGATTTTGAGCAGCCGATTGTCAAACTGCATGAATTGCCGATAGGCGTTCCGTTTAAAATTACTAGAGCCAAAATTGTTAATACAAAATTTGGCAATTCCGTGTTGCTGCAATTAGAAAATTCCGTAGTATTTCTTCCTACTCGCGTGACAGAAGCTTTCCGTCCGAGACTAGAACACTTTGCGTCGGGGCAGTACAAACTGGTCTACGAGGGATCCAAAGATATTGGAAAGCCCAACTCTTTAAAGAAATTCAAAATAATTCAAAATTAATCAACATATTATACAGGGTAAGTCTTATTTACTGTTATATATTTAATAAACCACGATGCGCGTAAAGCAGATCATTCATAGAGCGCAAATCTTAATTTTAACCTTACAAAAATTAAAAAAGCATATTTCCGACAAGTTCACTCTTAGAGATAGTGATGTGTGGCTTAGGAGACTAAATAAAAATATTGAATCTTGCAACCAAATCGTTTCTAACGAAAAGGATTTATCTATTGGGTTAAAAAGAAAATTACAAACTACAATTCAACATCTGAAAGCTATTAGAAAAATTATTCTTAATTATCAACATAAGCATTTTGGATTGGGATTACAAAGTAGTAGCCGCGAGACAAACACAAATGAAATGGTTGTATGGGAATCGGTAGCGTCGTGTTTCCAGGGAAGAGTTCAGACTGGTGTCATAATTAATTTACTTCATAAAGATTTAATTCAATTTTTAAACGATTCTCGTCCAATATTTCAACAAAAAATTAGTCAAATTTTAAAGAAATTTTTATTGCTGAAAGTAAATACCACATTTTGCGGTGAATTTATTAAGGCAAAAAATGATGTCCAAGGCGAAGTTGATGTTAAATATCTGAGTA